ATCCCTTCAGATATTTGCAACCCACTGTCACATGCTTTATCGACTTTGCGGCTGCCTTTGATTCAGTTGATAGAAAGATGCTTTGGAGGGTGATGGAATGCGACGGTGTTCCAGAGAAGATCATTCCACTTATAAAGGCATTTTATGAGCGTATGGCGCTGTGTATATGGAGAACTGACAGACTCCTTCGAAATAAGAACTGGTTTCGTCAAGGTTGCATCCTTTCTCCTACAATATTCAACTATGCGATAGACTGGGTATTGGACACCACTTGTCGGCACTAAAGAAGTATCCAAGTATCAGTCCAAAGTGTCATATCACAGAATACGCTAATGATGTAGCCCTTTTTGCTAACAGCTATGACGAAATGCAAGTAATGCTAAATAACGTGTCAGAAACTGCAGCAAGAATAGGACTCAGGGTCAATGTATGCAAAACGAAAGTCTTTTCGTCTCATGTACAAGGAGCTGATAAAAATAAAATGCCTCTTTTTGTAAATTCATTGCTGGTCGAGGAAGTGTCTGATTTTTTAAATACCTTAGGTCCACTTTAATACCAAATGGCCAAGCAAAAGACAATATTACAACCCAGATCACGTCAACTAGAAATGGGTTCTTCCGGTTGACGAAACCTTTATGGAGTCGTAGTGAAATCACCATAAAAACAAAAGTTCGCATCTATATAGCCGTGATTCGTTCGAAGTTGCTATATGCTTCTGAGACATGGCCAATGAGAGTGGAGGATATTAAGAAGTTATATGCCTTTGACCACTCATGTCTAAGGTACATATTATGGATCCATCGAGCGGATAAAATATCACATGATCGCATTCATCTTCCTTCAAATACCACTTGCATAAATAATGTTATCACAGAACGTCGCGTTCGGTGGTTAGGGCACATTCTCTGTCGTCCACCACAAGAGTTGTCGCATATTTCGTTATTTGCTAACCAAGTGTGATGGATAGCATCAAAAGCAAGGAGGGCCAATCAAGACCTGGACTGATACGGTGAGAAAAGATTTTGAACGTATAGATGGACCAGCAATATATGGACTTAGACGATGGAAAAAGGAAAGAAGTGGCTTCCATTATTGTCGACGATATCATCAGATCGCGCCGCTTGGAAGCGTCTTACCCTTGTAGCCAGCCTAACCAGTAATGGTGAGAGTTGTTAGAAGAAGAAGAATTACACTACGAATTCAAAGACCGATACTTGAACAGAATATAAATATTATTAAATGCGGTGAGGATCGCATATTTTTATTTCAACGTGGTTGTCTGCTAAAAATGATCGAACGATAAGGAAGCTATCATTATCAGTTATCCAAACAGCAATATTACTTAAAAAAATATTATAATCCACTTTACGTACAATTTATTTCATTATAAATCTGTATTTTTCCAGTAAGCAAGCGACAGCTCACGTGCTTTTTTCATATGTCCCATTTCCTTATTCCTCAGTCACCCCTTTCTTAGCCCCTAACTCCTTTACGATGCCATAAACAATACTTCTATAGCAAGGAAAACTCTCCATTCTGCCTAATTCACCCTCACCAGTGCTGTGATTTATATATACAATTACCACTTCTCTAATCCTCGCCTTTATAACTGCTCACTGCTCACAACTGCGGACCACATAACCGAAAACCAGCGCAACCGAAAATTTAGCGGAATCGAAGATTACCTGGCCGACCGTTCTCCGTCCATTTCCCTCGGCGAGTGGGCTGTTTCGACTCCTCCGATCGAGCGATTCCCACCAATCCGCGTATTCTTTCGTCGATTTCACTAATTGTTCCATTCTAACGACAACTAAACGAATTAATTGATATTTCACAACAAATAATTCGTCGCATCGAAATAATTCAGGACGAATTCCAATTTCATAGCGCTCGAAGGCGTCAAATTTTCAAACTAATTAGCCGTTAATTAATTAAGTACACGCAACACGGAAATTCGAATGCCGAAACGGCCAAAGCGTAGTTTAGAAAATTTCCTGCGCGATGCGAGATTGCAACGTCGATCCGATAAGTAGTAATATGTGCAGTTGAACTGCATTAATTTTATTGCTGTTACTCAGTTGCATTTTTAAATCTTTGTTATTAGTGCTCATTCAGTTTGCGTTCATTTCTCATTCGATGATTTTCTCGTGGTACCACAAGTTTTTTTAACTTTGCAGTAACAGTTGTTTTACGAAACAACTCGGAAATGCAGCCAGCGCGGTGAATTCCAAATACGCAGCCTCTAAGTTAGAAGTGCTAAGGTGGTAGTCACATGTAACGCATATTTTAGCTGTGGTGGTAACATTAAATATTATTAAGTAGTAGTAATCGGACAGATATGCTGTTTACGTATAGGGTTGCTGAGTAGGCTTAGATCAGATTGTAGCCAAGAATTCGAATCTCACCCTCAACAAGGATAAAAGCAATCACCATTGAAATTTCTGAGTACTGCCGGTAACCCACACGTATCTTCAGGTGACTCGCTGGCAAAACTTTCTATTCGAATAGTCGGGAACAGTGGTTCTCAACTTTTTTATCGTGTTGAACTGAGAACAAAATGGGTTAGAGGACGTTTTTCTTCTTCACATTAACACTTGTCTTTCTTGAAAAGAAAAATTGCTTCATTTGAAACGAAAAGTTAATTACAGAGGAAAATTTCATAAAAGTGACCTAATTCACAATCTCAAATATTCCAAAGAGGGGAAAAGTTACCCATTTCTGTTCCTCCTTGTTATACGATTTCCACTTCTATATGAAACGTAGAATCAATTTTTCATAATAAAATAGCTTTTTACGTTTTACTTTGTAACTTAGCGTGTGATCCTCTTATTGTTGCCATAATTTCTTTCGTTCCTGTGGTCCTTCATTTTTTTGAAAGTTTCTAGGCAAGTAACTCCCTGGTGAAATTTTCCTTGGTTCCTTGAATCAGCGGAGGAAGCTTTTTCAAAAATAAAAAAATTGGAGATGCAAGTACAAATGCGCAACACCTCTGATATTGCTTATATTGACAGCACTAATTGTTGCCAAATGAATCTGTAATGTTTTCTCGTGAAGTCCGACCATTTTCCCCCACAAAGTGGCTGTGTGGTGGCTTTTAGTTGTTGTTGGATAGAACTGACTCTTGAGACGAAATTCAGCGTACGGCACTAAGTATGATTTTTGTTCTTTTTTCATTGTATTCTATATTTTTTGTATTTTTTACCCTTTTTTTTGTCTTAATTTTTAAGTTGCTTTCTTTTTTATTTTATTCTTTTTGGTCATTGTTTTCATACTTTTTCGTTTTACTTACTGATTTGCCTTAATTCTACTTTTTTTCTCGTCTAAACCGTTTGTTAATTTCGAGAAATCGATCGATCTGAATGTTGCTGAATAAATGGAAATTGGATAGTGCAAGTTGTGCCACTCGTCAGATTGCTCGTTCTGCCGATATTTCGCTCAATCCACCTGGTTTTTCATTGAATATTTCGTCGATACAGCAGGTTTTTTTTAATTTCCTGATTTATTTGTGTATAGTTCGTTCAATTCTTGTGCATAAGTCAGTAAACCATTAAATAAGGTTATTCAAGGTTTTTAAGGTTTTAGCTATATTTGTTCCTCGATTAATTTTTTTAGAGGACTTATAAACCATTTAAATAATTGTTATGTTCCTTAAAAAATTTTATAGGTACTCTTTCTGTACATTAATTCCTATAACCTTTTTCGTTCGTTTAGGCGTGATTTGCAGTTTTTTTAGAATCCTTGATTTTTTTATTTGTTCAAAAAGTGTATAAATTGAACACATATATCTATAGTACGTGATTTTGCAAACCAGATATAGAAGAAAGAATTCGTTTAGCTATTTTAATTCAGTACAACATACAATGAGCTTATCATTCTGGAAATTGATTTAGCTTTAAGAAGTTGATTTTCGACTGAAAATGTATAATTTAGGAACAGGCAAGCCGAAATGAGCAAACACATCACTTAATGAAGAAACGTGCATGGGACATGGCTTTGCAACCGATGAAAAATTTACCGATGAATATGTTTATGATGTATATGTCGGGAAATACAATAAGCATTCTTCCAATAATCATGATTGTAATGATGGCATGGAGACCAGTGAAAGCTTTGATGAGTTTCAATGCGACTTTTAAACCACTTCAGGTAAAATCTTGTAATTTTTAATTTAAAATTTGTATTATGCCAACCTTTTATTGGTACTAAATCTTATGTTTATTTATTTATTGTTGATAGGGTTGGAATTCTTGGACAGATTTACAGGATCTTATGAGATAAGTCCTTTTCAGGATGAACATACCGGAACATTATTGCCCCATAAGATTGTTTTTATTGTCGGAAATATGTTGGCTGTAGCTATGGCATTGTATAAATTGCATGGGATGAGTTTATTACCGAATCACGCTTCCGATTGGCTTGATTTCCAGCAGCCTCCTCAAAGAAAACAGTTTGCCCTCATATCAGATTCATTTATTTTATGATTTTATTATTTTATCACCATTTTGTATCTGTTTTTTAAAATTTTTTTAATCTTCCAATTTAATTATAATTAGTTGTTTAGAAAAATAAAATAGTAATAAGCGAGAAATTATTTTTTATTTCGAAATATATTTGTATCTCGTTAATTTCGAAAAAAATATCGTCCTAACCGCAGCCAGTCGTCACGAATCGAAATCTTTTGATGACAAAATACATCAACAAAAATTTACTTAAGACTCCTTTATACCTCTTTTAATATTTTGGAAAACAAAACGTTTTTTTTTTCAGTAACCTCCGAAGCCTCGCCACATACTCATTATAACTCATTAATAGCGCCATTTTAAACCTTTTTATATTATTTAATATTTAATTCCTCTTTTCAGTTATTTTTTTGAACATAACTCATCGTTATATATAGACGAACGTATAAATTGAAAATATGTCGCTTCAACCCTTCATTAACCCTAAATCTTTTTTTGCCTTACCGCTTCTTCAACACCGTTATATTATCCCTCACATGTCCTCTTTTGTCATAATCTACTATAAAAATCGCCTCCTACTCCATTACCATTTTTAACATTAATCGAGGTTTCCTCATAATCCATCGTTTCAAATCCTATGATATTCCTTTCCCTGCGGTTATTCGACTGAATATTTATACTATGTCACCGGACCCTGTTAAAATATTTCGCTTTGCTTTTTCTATTACTGTTCTTTTCTATTACTTTGTGATTTGTTATTTCTCCACGCTTTTACCTTTTCTACCCATTATTATACTTGGTGTTGTCGGGTCGGCTTTTAATTTATTCTTAATATTATTGTTTATTGTAATTATATAAATTGTAATGCATTTAGGTTGTCATAGCTTCCCTCTATCCATGTAAAAAGAGATGAGGAAAAATACGAAAATTGAAGAGATTAAAAGAATAGAATGATAATGATATGATGCTAACGAGTTCGATAATAATTTGATAGAAATAAATAAAAGCAGTGTTATGCGGTTCTTTAAGACGTTTTTTTAAAAAATGTAAGATCTGAGACGTTCAGGACAAGCTAGTAGAAAATAGGAAAGGGAGGCCAGTTCTAATGTAAATCAACATTTTAAAAATGGTTGTCATCTAACGAAAATGGCGTATAATTTAATATCAATTGCATCAATTTATAAAATTCAAAAGATTATAATAGTACAAAAGTTATCAATTGTTCTTAAAGTTTTTAAAGAATCTCTTGGAAAATAAAGGACCTCTACATCGTTTATTCCGAAACAAAGTTATCGGATTATCCTTTATTCCGAGCAAAAAAATATAGAAACAAAGTAATCAAAGTGTAAGCCAAAAAATAAAATTAATAAAGTATCCTTTCCTTGATGAAAAAAAAGTTGTGCCCGAATAAACAAAATTTTATACCTAATGACATTATGGAAATATTTAATAATAGAATAGAATAATAGAAATAATAATATAACATAACATGCGAATAAAATAAAATTATATGAAATGAAAAAAAAAAGAAAATATCTCCACTTATTTTTGGCAGAGCTTCCTTGATGTTAGAATGAGCAAATTAAATATATATCAAAACAAAAACTGCATTTTATAATGTCAAAATATCAAATGCCGGCTCAGGTGCCTCCCACGACACATCATATCCTTTCCATATTGTTCGATTGGGTGCAACAAATAGTCGAACATGGTTGATAAAACATGTTACGACACCAAAATATGCCGTCCTAGGTACGCCTGCCTTAAATATATACGAAATTTAGTGAATAATAATAATAGAATAATAGTAAACAGCTTCCCTATTTCATCACAAAAAAACTACTGATTCAATCTTTCATAATAATCCTGAACATGTTCACTGAATAAATGGATTTATTATATGACAGCAACTAACGATAAAAGAAATATTGCAGCACCACCGTAAACGATATGAAATAAAATTTAATTCTATGAGACGGATGATACAAATAAATGAAGCAAATTGTCACAGCCTAATGAAAAAATATTAGTCCTATGTATCCGAATAGTTTTGAAACCCTCGTATTTCACCCTAACATCTCAAAAATTCGCTTCCTAACTCTTCTTCTTCTAACAGCTCTCACCATTACTGGTTAGGCTGGCTCCAACGATTACAAGGGTGAGACGCTTCCAAACAGCGCGGTCTGATGCTATCGTCGACAGTAATGGAAGCCAATCCTTTTTCCATCGTCTAAGTCCATATACTGCTGGTCCACCTATACGTTCAAAATCTTTTCTCATAGTCTAGATCTTGATTAACCTCGCTTTTGACGCCAATCGTCACACGGTTTAGCAAATAACGAAATATGCGTCAACTCGTATGGTGGACGACGGAGAATGTGCCCTAACCAGCGAAGGCGGCGCTCTGTGATAACATTATTTATGCAAGTGGTATTTGAACGAAGATGGATTCTTGCTGCAGTTTCTGACACGTTATTTAGTATTACTCGCATTTCGTTATTGTCAGCAAAAAGGACTACATCATCAGCGTATTCAAGATCTGTGATACGATACTTTGGACTAATTCGGACACCTCTTGAGTGCCGACAAGCAGTGTCCATTATCCAGTCTATCGCATAGTTGAATATTGTGGGGGAAAGAACACAGCCCTGACGGACACCTGTTCTTATTTCGAAGGAATCTGTCAGCTTCCCATATACACAGACCTGAACCGACGTGCGCTCATAAAATACCATTATGAGTCTAATGATTTTCTCTGGAACACCATCATGTTCCATCATCCTCCAAAGCTCTATCAATTGAATCAAAGGTAGCTGCAAAATCGATGAAACACGTGACAGTGGGTTGCAAATATTTGAAACGATGTTCCAGCACCCTTCTTAACGTGAATATCTGGTCAGCACAACCGCGCCCTGGTCTGAAACCAGCTTGATTAGTGCGCATCCTGCTGTCTCGTACTTCCATGAGTCTGTTTAGTAACAGGGAAGCAAAAATTTTTGCTGAGATGTCTAATAGGCTGATTCCTCGATAATTGTCGCAACATGTCCTATCACCTTTTTTGAGAATTGGGAGCAGAATTGCTTTGCTTCAATCATCTGGTAATATTTCTTTTTTTATACTAAAGAGCACATTTGTTAAAGGTGCCTTATGAAGGACAATGGACAGCATTTGAAAAGCTCATCCCGAAGACCATCTTCTGGAGTTTTGTTGGCCTTAAGCTTATGGATAACTGAAATTATTTTTTCTTCGGTTGGAGGCTCGCAATTGCAAACGTATGCTTCGGCAAACGTATCAGCTATATCAGGTGCAACAGATGGCGCTTCATGGTTAAATTTGGCTTCAAAGAATTCTTTCCATCTTACAGGCGATCCTTAATACTTTTGATTAGTACGCCATTGCTAGGGGCAACATTGCTTATGAAAAAGGCAGAATAGTTTCCTATTGTCGCCTAATAGAGCCGCCGCCTGCATTCTTGAGGCCATGTCACTCCAATAGAGATTTCTGTCCCGCCTTGCTGCTTTCGTTGCAAATCTTCGAAGCATCCGGTAGTCAGGATCACCTGACATTCGTGCTTTGGCAGCTTTTTCAGACAATTGGAGAGTTGCTTCCGATACCCAACTAGTGCACTTCCTACTGGTATGCCCTAGCGTGGAAGTGGCTGATTTTCCGAGACATTCCTTTAGTTTGCACCAGTATTCATTTGCCGTTCCAGAGAAATCATTGATATTTGTATCAGAGATGCTTCAATAATTCGGTTTGAAATGTCCCCGAATTTTTTAGTTTTTTAGAGATAGTTGAAGGAACTTGGGGGATGCTATTTTCTGCGAGTTGTCAACTTTATGCGGATCTTGGCTCGAACCATAACATAGTCAGAACCATGAAGATTGCCTGTTTCAGCTCCGCGATAGGAACGACTATCTAGTACGGGACTCCCTAAAGTAACGGCGACTGACTAAGATATAATTAATCTGGTTGTTGGTTGTCCGGGGAGTTCCACGTGACTAGATGTTTTTTATGATGCCGGAAGCAAATATTAGTAACAAAAAGTTCATGCTCTTCAGCATAACGTTCCCCATTGACACCGAAGAAGACGTTCCCCATTGACACCGGTCTCCGATGCCATATCTGCCAATTGTTGAGGTCATCGCAGCTGCATTATGACGTACGCGAGCATTCCAGTCTCCTCCGATTATGATCATGTCATATTTCGGTATTTCGTTAGCAATTCAAGTTCCACATAGAATTTATCTTTATCACGGTCATTTGCAAATAGAGTTGGAGCATAGACACTGATGACCGAGATATTGCAGAACTTACCCTTAAAACGGCAATAGGCCATACGGTCGTTTACCGGTTTCCACTCAATTAAAGAAATGGGCCTTGTCAAACGTGACAATCGCTACGCCATTTCGTTCCGAGTTATTCGAAGCACCACAGTAATATAGCCAGTATCTCTGCTCCGAACCAGGATTAATAATTACTCGAGAACCTAATTATAGAGCCACGCTCATCATCATATCTATGAAAATTTTATATTTTGGATAACTACTGGCGATCTGCACACATTATAATTTTTATTTTTTCATTTTATTTTTTTTATTTATTATTTTGGCTTACATATTTCAGGATGCGACAGCCGATGAAGACGATGATATTGAAGATCAAGAGCAAGATATGGAATAAGAAGCTTTTAACTAGTTTTGACATTCTGAAAACTTAGTTTGATAAGATCTAATTTTGTTTTTGATTTGTTTTTGATTTTTTTTGGATTGGATTTTCATAGGACAAAATTTGCTCTTTTTAAAAAACTTAATAACTCTTCTCGAATCGCGCACTGAACAAAGAATACAACGAATGAACAAATTTTAAAATTGTTATTGAATATGTGTACGTATTTCTTTTCAGTAAAATATCTATTTTTATTGCGAAATTCATTATCCATCGAATTCATGGAAATCTAATTCTATCCGCGAATTCTATTTTTAAATCTCAATTCATAATATTTTTCATTTTGAAACCTAACCTCCGATTCACTTTGAAAAACTTTGATATTTGAAACTTTGATGTTGCAACAATTAATGGAACATTTTCAGTTAAAAATTTTGAAAGTTATCAGTCAAGCCTCCTTTTTTCTTTTTTGTTTACTTGATTACTTATCACTTATTCAAATTTGCTGTTTATTTAAAACTCGATTATAAAAAAATGAAAAAATTATTTTTCAAGTTTTGCAAATTTTTCGTAAAAATACTTTTTCATGGGAATAAATTTAAGAAAAGCTCCCACATGTGATAGGAATGGTAAAATTGTGGTTTAAAAGTTACTACTAAACATTTAGAGCAAAATATAAAAAAATGAAGTCAGTGCAAATATGTCGTGGCTGTTAATTGAACTGCTAATAATAATTCTCAGTATACATATACAGTATTTTTATTGCTTCGTGGTAGTGTCCAGTAACGTTTATCTTACTTTTGCACCACTCATCATTTCCAGTTTTGCATTAAGTATTATGTATTATGAAGCCAGTTTGCCAGAGAGTCACTTGAGAATGGATTGCAGGTAGTGTTTTAAGTATTATTAAATCGACTAACAATAATGTTAGTAATTTAATAATTATGCGAGTTATTATGAATGAGTTACTTTATATGTGGTACATGGCAAAATGATGTAGACTCTTAGAATCGAATGATGAAAGAAATATCTTTATTTGTTAACTTTTTGCTAGAAGAATCAGAACCGGCAGAACCATATTTTTATGATAAATTTTAAATACAAGCGTATATTTACACCAAAAAGTTTTTAATTTTAATTAAAATTAATTATTAACTGGTTTACTGACCAGCGAAAAACGATGGCAGCAACAGGTGGCAGCATAATCAATGGAGAGCAAAAAAAAGAAAACCTATCCCATTTTGCCTTTGAGTTTAATTTGGAGAATGAAAAATTCTGAGAAAATTCAATTCAAAATTTGGATTATCTCTCAAGCTTTAGTGCTTGGATAGATCCTAAATCCGATATCATTAAAAATTCCGAATTATATTAACATTTATCTAAACTTCTGCTACAACTGATTCCTGGTAAAAATTTCTTATTTTGTTGCTTTTGTATTTATCCATCAGTGAAATTGTTGCATTCTAAGTTAGATTAGTACAGCTCAAAAAAAGTGGTTAATAAAAAAATTCGCTTCCAGTTGAGTTTTACTTATCTGAAATTTTTTTCTTATATTTTTTTCTGCATCTTATTTTTACTAAAATAATAGAAAACTTGTGGCAAAAGAGCATTCATCCTGAATTTGAATTATTTTTGTGTCAGATGCATGCCACAGATGGCCGATTTATTCTTTCATTCACTGTATTAGCATTTTGTTCTCTTTGAATGATCATAAGAAGCAAATAAATAAATGCGAATTGCTGCTTTATAAGCTTTTCTTGCAAATCAAAAATTTGTATACTCCAAAAATATTGAAAAATTTTGAGATTTTGAACAGAGAAACCAATCGATGTTATAGAACGATAATAGTGCTTTATGCAACATTTAAAGGTACTGAAAATAACTTCGAATTTTAATTTTCCAATTTTGTTTTGAAATTTAAAAAATTCAGATCATAAACTTTGCTCACCTATGAATAGGAAAATCAAGATTTTTGAGACCAAGGGAATTCCAAATTCAGTTTTGACCAGTAATTTATAGATTCATCACTATAAGATAGACTGAAGCATTGCATGATCCTCTAATCAAAAAGTAAGAACGATTTCCCGAAGATTTTTCTGGTCCATTAGATTTCCTAAAACCTAAAAAGGATTGCACAGAAGAGAATTAATTCGGTTTGATTTATTCCACTGGCTCTTTAAATGATGTGCCTTCGTTAAAGAGTAATCTGCGAATAGTAGCCCAAGGCCTTGGATTTCCTTTTAATGGTATTTGATCTCAATCGATACAGCAGACCACTTAACTTGACTCTTAACTAGTATATTACTTCAGAAACAGTATGGATCGACGTATGGAAAGTTTTGCCAATTTCCTCTTGAAATCCGAATTTTTGAGATTATCCGCAAATTCAGTCGCTGATTTACAAGCTTCTAGAAATTCAGATTTTCACTGTCCTGTTGTTCACATTGATTTCATTGTCGAATTCATTCAAGTATATTCTTGCGAATTGAGATCGATGATCGCTACAATCGAATCAAATCAAATTTTTCGCACAAATTGGTTATGCGCGAGACTTTTTATAAGTTTTAGTTTCTTTAATGCGAATTGTAATGCATAATGGATTTAATGTTTGCTGAAACGGCATAACTAGAACTAAGGTGTAAATTTTTGTGTAGCATGTCAAATAGCAAATATCGTTTGTCACTGCCATGTTTACTAGCGAGTTTTACAATATTAATGGGCTATGTCAACAATGCATTACTAGTCGCCGATATTGATAAAAGATTATATAAGGTTTCCAACAACAACTCTCAAATTGCTCAATTAGCCAAGGCAATCCACCTATAATCCACTTTATTTAGTAGAATATGTTGCAAAACTATTCATTCGTGAATTACAAATCTGGAATTCGTGAAATTATTTGTAGTGAAAATCGATGCATTTTTAGAAAACCTCGTTCATCGAATCAGCTTGGATATTGTCGACTTTATGCGAATTGTCGACTCGATGGAATGGAAGGACCGAAAGAATATTGTTTATCCATTATAAATAAATAAACATAAATATCATAGGATGGATTATATATGAAATAATAAACAAATAAGCAAAATAATAAGAAAAAAAGAAATAGGAAAACCGAAATTAAAGTAGAATCCAAAGTAATGAAAGATATGAAGTGAAATATCCATTAAGTTAATAAGTTCATTGCACTTAAAAAAACCAACCAAATTTGAAAAAAATTATGTAACAAATTTTTCGACTACCGCATTTACTTTCGATTTGTTTTTGCCATTTACCATTTGTCATTTATTTATTTATTTACAATGTTTAGTTGTATTATTTGAATTACTGAGCTTGTTTGTAACAAGAAAGCTTCACTCTACGAATATTATATATGCACTCGTTTAGAAACAAGTCTTTTATTTTTGTTACTTGCATAGAGTAGGATTGGCGAATGGATGGTGTCTGAGATTACCATGTTGAGAGGCGAGGACTCAGATCGTATGCCTAATTGTATGTATGTCTCATGACTAAATTTAAAAAGTCTCAATGGTGTTAGTAATTCATCCTTCTTTCTCTAGTAGATTTGAGGAATTGACAAGAATTTCTAATAGCTAGCGTAGCTAAGGTAACCAGAAATTCAACCGTTTATTCATTTATTTGCATATTTATTTTCTCTTTTAAAAAATTGATGAAAATAAGCAGAAATTTTTTCTTTTAAATAAAAAATTGTGGAATAAAAAAAGGATCGAATTGTTTTCGGTGCAAAAAAATTGATCATATTACTCGCTGTTCATCAAATTTATTCATTAAAACCATAAACCGGTTCATTACATTTCTTTAAATATAAATATAAATGCTTTATGATGATAGTGAATGATAATAAAATGATGATAAAAATATCAAAGAAACGAAAGAATTGGCAATGAGAATATGGAAAATGGCTAAATGATAAAAAATAAAGCTAATATACGATAAGAATTTGCTGAAATTTTCGAATTTTTCAACTATGGAATGCATATTATAAGGATTATGCGATTGAAAATTTTTAGCTGAAAAGATTTTTCTTAATATTTGTTAATTTCTCTTCCACCAACTAATAGGTTGATATACCTTGAGGGGAAGAATATAGATGGGAACACTTGGATTTCTCTTTTGATGATAGATTTTGTCTTATCAAAAAATCGAACCCATGATACTTTGGCTCAGTCTAAGGGAAGGGATATATATGCCATTCGGTGATCTTTAATTTTATTTATTTATTTAAGCAACCAAACATTTTAATTCTTTTTAATTCATTCGAATTTCATCCGAATTATATAAATTTTTGAGCATCATTTCATTAAATTTCTATTTTTTTAAACTGTTTACTTTGCAAATTAATGCTCATGAAAGTACTTACAATTTAGTTTCATTAAATAATAAAATAATGGAAAGCCAATCAAAAAAAAACAGAATTATCAGTCATCACCAATCTCTGCTAATGAGCCACTTGGGGATAGAAGGGCAAGTGGACCCAAATTACCATCCAGTTTTCCAGTAAATTTCGATATTGGTCATCAATAACTTCGATAACTTTTTTTATGGTAATATTTATTAATTTAATAATAGTTGAATAACAATTATTATTCCTCAACTATTTTCATTTGGAAGCTTTTTTCCATTCCACTTTTGCTTCATTATTTCACTTTCCACTTTTTTTCTCGGTGCCGATCTCGATTAACTGATGAAATCTGTCATGCCTTAAATTGTTTTCATTTGAATGAAACATATTTCCCATTTTCTAATAATTCTGCTATAAAATATCCATTTATAGGCGTTTTACTTACAATTCATTTGATGAAATAACTATTGTGAATTGTGAAAATGAAGGAAATATATTATAATTCTTATTCAGATCATGTGAATAATTTATTTCTCTATAATCAGTACAATTAATTCAGATATTATAATTCAGATATTACTTTTAGATTCCTTTAAATTGCTTGTTAACTATTTTTGTCATATTGCATGGTATAAAGTAAATAGTAAGCGATTTTAATTAGCGATTCTTTTAAAGGATTATTTTCTTTCCTTCTGTTGTAGAGAGCTTGGCATAAATATAAGATTATGAATAAAAAGAATTTTATTTTGGTGTTCGGATAAGGACAAAATGTCATAGGTCAATGATTATTCAATTTTTCGGTGGATATTGATATGATATCAATTTCCACTCATTATACTGGTTATGGTCTTTACGTGTTCAGTTAAGGTACATTAGTTATATTAGCCAAATAGCTTGCGATACACACTCGCTTAAATTTAAATCTAGACTGTAGTTTAATTTTCGTCAACCTGATTTTCAAAATTCATTGAAGTACTTTATAAAGAAGAAATATGTTAGATGTTAGATGGCATAGAAAAATAAAGAAACAACAAGTTTTGAATGTTAGAAAGGATTTTATTAATTATTATAAGTTTGATTATTGTACCTAATCGTTAATATTTTCATTAAATTTTATACGTGTGACCTTTTCGTCACGATGCACTATATAGTACCGTAAAAGTGACAAAATGAGTGGTTAGAATCGCGTAATCTTTAACCATTCATCATACGTTGACATTTTTCCAACTGTCATTAACAGTGGCGCAACCATCGTAAAAATAACAATAGGCATGCAGAGACATGCATTTTACTATATTCTTCGGCATCTGAATACCATAGTTCAAAGATAAGTCTTAATGTCATTGCAAAATCTAAAGCATTTAACTTTTCATAAGAAAAGTTCTTATTTATATGGTTCCCTTGATTTGATAATATTTTAGCCAAAATTAATTTTTGGCATGAATATTTCACTGACTTGTTTAATACTGCACTGCACTTCCAATAAGTAATATTATTGCGGAAAAAGTTCATTGTTTCTGTAAAAATTGCAGTTTTCCAGTCCAGTTAACATGAAAGATCAAATTTTTCGTTCTATCATGGCACGAAAATTTTTCTTTCTGACCATGTTCACCATTTCTGTTTTACTTAACTTCAATGATTACTATATTGAGAGCGCTTTCCTAGAGAGTCTCTTAAAGATGAAATTTCAATGGGTCAGCAGAACTCTGACTGCTTTTAATGGTAACTTTCCGTCAAGGGTCAGGGATGAGGCCTATGGTAGCTTAATCAGGCAATATCCACTCGATCATCCTATTTCTGGCATGAAATTGAAAAATTCTATGGAGCATTATTTCAAATGGTCGAATGGCTTTGGAGGTGGAAATGCTTTGCACAGTTTTAATTCACAAAATGTTTTACAAAAACAAGATATTTTAATGAAAATGTTCAAATGAATTTCTATTGAAAAAGTAAATCGCCACTATTCTGGTTAGACTTGCGCTTTTAAGAGAATTTTTCGGCAAGTACTCACTTGACGATAAGTGGGCCAGCAGCCTGATTTTTCAATGATCACTTACTCCTTATTTGTGTCAGGAGCAGGGAACTGAACCCTAACCTCTTAACATGATAATCTAAACAGCTATGCATTCAGCCACCATGCCTTTTGAATAAATCAATACGTTACATCACTGTTATAGTAAGTATTGAAGATGAAGTATATAAATTTTGCTAAACATTTTTACCATTTAGTTTCCATACTTTTTAAAAATTTTTTATTTCATATCGAATCCATTCATTCGTCGATTTTCAAATAAAGATTTTTTGTTTTTCATATTTGGCCTTTCGGCTTTTTTCCCTCTTAACCATTCAATGGTTCGTTTGTTTTTCAAACGACGGGAAAATGATGATCGTTTTCGCGCATCCTATTATATTATATATTTTTGGAGAAAAAAAAAGCGAAAAAAAATTCCTATCATTGCCAAGTGAAATTTATATTCCAATATTTTTTTTTTAAATGGGGATTAAATATTTTCCATTTTTTTCTTCCACAAATTTTAGCGATTTGACATATTTTTTATCCTCTTTTTTGAGTTCTTTAATTTGATTTCAGGTTTTTTCAAATCCAAGAGACAGCATTTTGGTTTGCATGTTTTTTATTCGTCATGGAATATTTATGCTGTTTATTTCGAATGCTATTTGTTCGAAAAACTGATCCCAGTGTGTAGGCATGGTCAAGTGATATGATTACTTCAATTCACGTCGAGCACCATAGGTCCGATTCCCTTTTCGTTGACACGCTGGCTTAAAAAATCAAGTGAGGCTGGTGCTAAAGTCGCCACCTATAACATGTCTCAAAACTAATAATGAGTTTTTCATGGAAAAAAATGAATAGTAGTCCAGAATTTTCTTTTTTAAATTAGTGGGCGTAGATTTTTATAAAATAAAATTGTTTTATTAATGAATGAATGTACGGTTCAAAAACAGTGGAAGATGTATGGAAGTAGGCTTGCAGGTTTGTAATAATGACAAATAAATATTAATAAGATTTGTCAGGATGGTTGTGTATCTAAGTATGTATAAAATTAATAAGAAAATAATCAAATTAATAAACCACAAGGATATAAATATATTTTTAAGAACAATAGGATTTGTTGGATTTACGTTGAATGACAAAGTACGAAGGAATTTTTCATTAAGATTTAATTATAAAGATCTTATTTATTATCTCCAATTTTCAGCAGACTTTTCGAAAA